CTGTCGTGTGCCCAGAGCTGTGATATCAGCAGTGAGATCCAGCCACTCCTTTATGTTTGATCCTTTTACTCCTCTTTTCCTTTTTTTAGCCTCACTCATGCTTGGGATTCACAGCATTCCAACCACTTGGAAGCCAAAGGGAGTTGAAAGCCACACACCGAACACCACATCTCGCAGAACCAAAGGCTTCGAGTGGGTCTTAATCATTAGGTTGAACTTCAGACTATTCAGATGCATAAAAGATTACAAAATCCACGCTCCAGATAGCACTGCTTCATTAATGGCACAAGCAGCCACAATTAGGGAGCTGTTGTTTCCAACAATGAGCTCAGAAATACGGGTAAGCGGGCACAATGACTTTATTTATTGGGTGGTGTCTTTGAAATGTCATCTCTGATGCAACTTGGTGTCAAGGCAGCCAAAAAATCTGTTCCCATGTCCCGAAAACCCACACCAGAAAAATGAAGCTATTTTTATAGGGACATAAATGGCAAATATGTATCCAGAAACATTCAGTGAGTGGGTTATTTTTCTTTATTTTTTTTTATTTCCATGGCTAAATGAGGTGAATGTGAATAAAATGAGTCAACACACTGTTTGTTACAGTTGATGTCTCTGTGTGAACAGGATTTCCAGGTACTAGAAGGTACAATTTCAGGTTGACAGTGCTGTAATAACTAGAAATCCCTTTCTGGTTTAGTCTAAACCAGACTCTGTCCTATAACGCCTCCAACAGCCACTTTTCCTGTCAAGGGGAAAAATGAAATGTAGTGATATTTATTCTCCACAATGTACCATTTCCATAGTGCCCTCATGCAGGAAAAGCTCCTGAAAACTGGCAAAAAAATAAATCTGTTCATCCATATCTGTGCTGAATATTGTCATGGAATCATGGAATTGTTTGGGTTGGAAGGGACCTTAAAGATCATCTTGTTCCAGCAGGGAATCTTAAAAGGAATAAAAGGTTTCACTAAGTATTTTATACCAAAGGCAATATATCATCATGTGATACAAGAGGTATCATATGATGGATTTCCCTGTCCCCACCACACTAAATAGTTCTCCTTTGTCTTTGAATAGGGATTTCTACCCTTTATAAATACTCCTTTTCATGGAAGCAATTTTTCCTTTGTAATCAAAGCAATTTCAAGGTAGAAGTAAGAGAAAAACACACCTTTGTGTTGTGTTGTGGCTTAATAAAATCATGTTTCACATCCTTTAAGTTCATCTTCTTGCAGAAAAAAAAAAGAATATTAACATGAAAGAATATTCCACCCCAAAATGTAATGATTTCATTTCTTAAAAATCTACTGGCTAAAGAAATCAATGTGACATTTGGGTCTATAAATAATCAATTCCAAAAAATTTAGTCAAGCAGAAACAAAAAGCAATGGTAGGATATCAGTGCAGACACTCAATTGCTTAAATTTCTTAAATTTCTGAAGTGAAAGGTAATAAATTAAGAAACCTAATTAGATATTGATTTAAATAAACTCAGCCTCCTGGTGACTAAGCAATGGTTATTAAGGGTTCTGGTGTAAATTAAAAGAAATAAGGGAATAAAAAAAAAAAAAACCCAAATATTTTTGTAGCCCTGGTTCTAAGAAAGGCAAACTAAAATTAAAGTCTCGTTCCCCCAGAAGTTCCATGATTTGGAAACAGGTTCCTGCTGCTGCACTGAGACCCTCGTGGTGTTCAGGGGGAAATAACTGGCTGTTAACACGGAGTCAGGGATGGAAAACATCCAGGTTGAAGTTTAATCATCAGTGATGTGATTTTAGAGCATCAAAGCCACCAGATTTAACAGAGTTCCTTGAAACAGTGCAAACAAACTTAAAGAGCACTGAAACAACAAAGGGATATTCCAGGGGAATTAGAGTAAAGATGCTGTATTTCTGTTGTTTGGGAATTAGGAATATCCCTGGCAGAAAGGTCCCTGAGACAGCACCAGCTCCTGAAATTCCCACCCATCCCTGGGCAGATCCATTAATGGGACCAGGAACTTCTGGTCAGCTCAGGGAGACGGTCAAGGGGTGAAGTTGTTCCTTCCATGGAGCCACAAGATCCCATCTGGAGCACTCTGGGATGTGGCAGAGAGGCAGGGAACACCAAACCTTCCTTCTTGTGACCTCCTCCAATACAGTGATGAGCAACGGGCTCATTCCTTGGGAGAGACTCTGCCTTTCCAGAGTCAAAACATGCCAAGCAACTCAATAAAAACTAGGGGTGAAACCCTACTATTAAAATAAATAAATAAAAAGAAATAAAAAATAAATGAACATCTGAACAGATGAATTAAGAAATAGAAACATTAAATTAAAATAAATAGATAAATGAGTGGACAGATTGTTAAATAAAAATTAAAATGATATTAAAATACCTTTTTTAAATAAAATAACATAATAATATGGACCAAAAGCACTTTAAACCCCCTTTCTTTTACCCTCATCTCTCTCCTTTCTCAGCTCCCAGTGTCCAACACTCTCTTTGACAGTTCTGTCACATAGTTTGTGCTCTCTAATGTGTGGTTTGACTGTGCCCTGTATTTTTGATGCTTCCTTGATGGTAGGTTGCTTCAATATTCTAACAAGCCTACTGTAAATAAAGACTAAGCATTACACTTTGTTTGTCATGGAATCATTTCAGGGATGAATTCAGTTGTGAAGGGGGAAGTTACTGTAAATCACCATCACCAAACCAAGATGAATTGTACCAACAAATTGAAGTGACAGTTGCCAGACAGAGCTATTGTCTGTGCCAATCATTTCTTCCTGCAGAGTTTTTCTGGGATACAGCCCTGAAACAGTTGTTGTTTCTATTAGTGAGAGGTGTTTGGAACCTCCTTCTCGGTTAGGTTTATTTTTTTGTGCTACCTGAACACAAAAATATAGAGAGGAAAATGAGTTTAAGTTGGACAACACCTTTGCTGGGCAGCAGTTGGGTTTAAAAGTGCTTGAATTGCTCCTCTCAGCACTCTCTAATTTCTTTTTTTTTTATTGACTATCTTAAATCAATTTTAAATTTTCAATAGGTTGGAATATTTGCACCTATTTCAAGATTCTCCCCTTTTTTAAGTGCGTGAATGTCACCGAATTATGTGGGATGGCAAACATGGTGCAATCCTGTGAGTACTATAAAATCAGAGAACAGTTTGGGTTAGAAGGGACCTTTTAAAGGTCATCTACTCCAAACCCCCTGCAATGAGCAGGGATTATGTGCTGTCCTGTTAATCACAAACTCAGAGTAGCTACAAATTCCTTTGGATTGTCTCCCAGGAGTTGTTCTGCTGCTCTGCTCTGCAGAAGTGCTCTGGAGGTGCTCATGGCATGATTTTTCTGTGATTTAAAGTTCCCCACAGATCTCAGCCAACGTTTTTGGTCCTCATTGACACCGTTCTGTGAACTACAACTCATTAAATTAGCACAAGTTTGGTTGGGATTAATTGGGTTATGAGGAGCTTGACATTCTCCATCTGGAGCTGAGCCCTCAGTTGTCTCCTGCTGGGGATGAACCCTCCCCTTTCATGAAAAGGCACTTCAGTTACTAAACAGATAATTTCCAGATTTAGCTTTTCCCATAAGGGCTAAATGGTGCTCCTGGATTCCCACAAATTTCCCTGAAGGAAAAGGGGGGACAGGATGGCAGTGACGTGGTTCTGTGGAGGTGGCAGGGTGGTAGTGACATGGTTCTGTGGCCAAGCATCTGAGGAGCAATTCAACTCTGTTCTTTCCTTCTCTCTTCTTCCCCCACCGTGTCAAATAGAAATCCTCAAAAAAAAAAAAAAAAAAAACCAAAACAAAAAAAAATGACCTAAAACTCCCTACAAGCACCTGGGAACTACAGGAACCCTTTGTAGATGTGATCAATGAGTATCACATGAACATTGTGTTCAACTAAGAAAAATATAAAATATAGATAATTTCTCTTATGTATAATCTTTAAAAAACCCAGAAAATATAAAATACGGATGAATCCTTTCATGTATAATCACAAAAAGACCCCCAACAAACCACAAATGAAAAAAATAAAAAGAAGCCCACAAACCCAGTATTATTCTAAGGACTAGACTAAAACATTAGTAAAAGAGATTTATGGGAGTACAAGCATTGGGAGACTCATAAACCAGGTGTACCTTCAAAGTTTAATGAAGGCAGTGGCTTGGGAATGTCGCTCTGTGAATACTGAACCATGTTGTGGATAAGGAACATCCTTACCTGGGTCCTCCTCACAGCCAGGTCTGGGCACTCGGTGCGAGATTTTAACTCAGTGATGCCCCTGATCCTCAGAACACGTTGCTGAGGAGGTTTAACTCTCCCTCCCCTCCCAGAAACTCAAACCAGGCAGCCCAAAATGAATATTTCAGGGTATTATTTCAGCATGGATGTGATTGCAGCTTTCCTACATGATGTGTTAATATTTTTAACCTGATTACACCAACCTTTCACCTCAGCGGAACAACGGAATTTTCTCCTGGCGGATTTTTCCACAGTCAGACATTTTCGGGGCCCTCAGAAATATTGGGAATGTTTCTTCTGCACCACAGATTGGGATTTTATTTCTTGGTCCCCTCATCTAACCCAATAACTGCTGCTGAATCAGATCAGGCATTTTAGCAGGAGATTCAATCTTGTTTTAAAGACCCTCATTGACACTGCATGAACCACATCCATTATTAATCTGTTCCAATACCTAATTACCCTCATTAAGAACATAATTAAGAAATTGTCTAATTTCTGTTTGACCTTTTTCTGTCTTCGATTTCCTGCCATTTCTGTCAAAATTTTCTGGTGGTGTTTCTGATAATGTCTCTCCCAAATTCTCTCATAAATACCTCTGCTCATAATGAATGTATCTATAAAATACAAATTCTCTTCTTCCTAGATTAAAGTGGTCTGTGTAGACAACAAATCTCCCCCCAAAAAAACCCAAAACAAACAAAAAAACCCAACCTCCCCCAAAAAAACCTAAAGGACAGAAAGAACTAAGAAACATAAAATGCACCATTTTTAAAAGTGGGTGATTTATTAAAAAAGAAACCGAGTGGCTCATCTTTCATCACGGATATTTAGACAAAAGTCCAGCATTTAAGGTTCAATTCCAAGGTTTTAATGTCTAGAATTTATTTTTGCAGCCATCAGTGCTGTGTTCAAGGTACCCAATTGCCAGTTGATCCCTCCCAACACCCACATTTCCTCCAGGACGGGTAAATACGTGCCAAAAAAACCCAAAACCTTTGTGACACCACAGGGGTGACAGTCAGAGCACATTTTGTTGTATTATTTGTATCTCCCTGACTCCTACACAGAGTTTCCATGGGAAAACTGCAGAATGCCTACACGTGGTAATTTTTAGTGCAGCCTCTAAACCTATCATCTCCCAAAAAATGTCCTTTTATAGCCTTGTCAATCAGTGTATAATTAACTGGATTTACGTACGGAACAGATGGGAATTTTGGAAATGTTTCTTTTACTAAATGTATGTGAGGAGGAATAAAAAAAAAAAAAAAAAGAAGAAGAACCATGACTCGGGGATTTGATATATATGTATTCCTAATGTGATGTTGAATTTAATTAAGTTCTATAAATACGGGCAGTAAAATGTGAAGCAAAACATGCCAAGCATTATTAATTACAAATAATGACAACAAAGTTGTCTGGTTTTCAGAAGGGAAAGTCAATAAATACCGTATTTCAGGGTGAAAAGCAAATATCAGGGTTTTGCCAGTGACTTCAGATGACCTCTTTAAAGGGAATTTTCCCAAGATTTAGGGACATGAAGGCTCTGCCATTTGCAAACACGACTGGGAAAGGGCAAGAAGATCAGGATTCAGAAGAAAACAGCATTTCCAGGTAGTTCTTAAAGAAGAAAGTGGAGTTGCCTCATCTCCCTGTGTTGAGCATCATTTTCCTCATGGGAATGGGAATATTTCCCCTGGATTTAAAAAAGTAGCCCATAAATTTGCCCAGGTATATTGGGGGACAGGGTTACTTTTGCAAGGTGTACAAATTTCCAAAGGGAGAAACTAAAGGAGGAGGAAGGAAGACAGGAAAAGAGTTGGATATTCCAATATTCCATGATTCCCTACACAGGGAATGTCAAGGGTGCAACGCCCTAAGAACAATGGTTGATTTATGTAATCCCTTCATGACCTTAATTAAGTTCATCAGCACTTAATTAATATTTCTGAAAAGGATAATATATATAATTTCAGATTTATTTGCTTCATCCATATGTTAATCCACTAGAATATCACATTTAATTGCTATTTTCTTCCTTTCCATGAGCTGTTCTATAGGTGTGTTTTTCTCCCTGTTGGAGTCCTGGGTCAGACTGAGTTCTCCTGGTAAATTAAGGACATAAAAGAACAGAGAAATGTGACTTTTTTCTTTTCTCTCTGCACACTCCCTAGACACAAAAACCTGGCTTTTTGACAGCTCAGTTTAGAACTGGAAGAGCAAATAGAATGCAAAATTAGAAGGCAATAAAATGAATAAAAATTTCCAGATGAAAATCGTACTAATAGTCACTATTTTGGAAAAAGGCATACTTTCCATATCTGTAAAATTAAAATTACTTACAAACTCACCTGAAATTGCCAAAATAATGCAGATAATTAGAACAGGAGATCCTGCTAATGGGCTTTTTGCTCTGCCACTGCCCACTCTCAGATAAGGAGCCGGAATTCTGGCTCCCAAGCCATCCACAAATGGTCCTGTGCAGGGCTAAGGCTTGGACTCTTTGATCCTTGTGGGTCCCTTCCAACTCAGCATATTCTGGGATATTCTGTGAAATATATTTATGAGCTGGACTAAGAACTGTGCAGCTTCTCTTGCCCTGTGAAGAAATTCTACATCACAAAGCAACTTTAAAGCTGGAACTCAAATTCGAGATTTGCTTCCAAACCACAGCCAACTCCTGGGCATTATGTTTGGATTTTATTATTTCGGTTGAAATCCACCTCCAGGAGCACCAAGATCAGGCCCTCTAGTAGTCTGAATTATCATAATAATAAGTGGATGTATTATGATCAGTGCTGGAATTTGATTTATTACATTCAAGAAGGAAATGAAGGGCGAATAACACAGGTTTGTTTATCACGGGGGATTCAAATAAACACTGATAACATCCCTGATCATAATTCATTGAAGTGTCAGAACATACAGGCTGATGAACACTCAACTTTTCCTCCTTGGGGTATGAAATATAAATTAATTATACCTTGCAGGCAGCTTGCAGGGTCTGTGGAGATGAGGAGAATTAGATGCAAAAGACTTGGCTGATGGCTATTTCCAAGCTATGACAGGGGGATTATTTTTATTACCAATATAACCAAGTAGCCCAGAGTGAAAAGCCCCCAAATGATAATTAAGAAAAATTATCAGGAAAATTGGACCTCCTGGCTTATCTTGTTATCCTGGGCATATTTCTCATGTTATTCCTTCAGAAAGGCATCAAACCCCATCAGCCTAATTCTGAAAAATATTTAGGCTTGGACTTTTAACACCTTTAGGTAATTCTTAAAGACAGAGAGAAGGATAAACTTTCTTCCAACCAATACCTCGAAATAAATTGGATCAGATTTATGTAATATTACCATGAACTTATCTCAGGAGTTGAATACAATGTAAAGCGAAGGAGAGAGGAACTTTTTGAAGTGAATAATGTCACCAAAGCCTCTGTCTCACAGAACTTCAGGTATTGTCATGACAAGCAGAGTAGAAAGATAATACTCAATAAATAGATAGAGAGAAAAAGGACCTGTCAACTGGAAACACCAAAAATGCAACTTGTTAAAGCTGTTGAGTTTATTTTCAGAAATGACAGAAATTTTTGCTTTAAACCTGAACCCTTTATTTGTCATTTTAGACTATTTAACTTCTAGCTCAGTGAACCACAGGATCATGGAGAGGTTTGTGTTGGGAGGGAGCTTAAAGATCAAGTTGTTCCCCACCCTGCCACAGGCAGGGACACCTTCCACTAATCCCAGGTTGCTCCAACCTGGCCTTGGACACTCCCAGGGATCCAGGGGCAGCCACAGCTTCTCTGGGCAACCTGTGCCAGGACCTTCCCACCTTCCTAGCCAGGAATTCCTTCCCAATATCCCATCTAACCCTGCTGGCTTTCAGTTTAAAGCCACCACTCCCTGTCCTGTCACCCCAGGCCCTCGAGCCAAAGTTTAACGAGATGTTTCTTCTCACAGTGATGCACCTTCAGAATTAAAGTGTCAGGCCCCATTTCTGCATTGACTCAGCCACATGCTCAGGTTTCCTCCGCAGAAAAATGAGATCAGCAGGTTAATCCTGGTTGGAAAGCAAAGTCTGTGGATTCCATCAATGGAGACCTACATCAAATTAAATTATATGTATTTTTTCAGGAATAACTGAAGCTCAACAACATGAGCTTGAAATAACAACAGAGATTAAGCTTTGTAATATGTCAAATAATAATTTTCGTATGACACTAGCATTTGTTTTCATTAATAGATAGCACTAGGAAGCTTAAGACTTTGATTCAGGAAATTATTATATCTTAACCAAGAATTAGGGAAAAAATTAAACCCTGTGCATGAATTATTCTGTACATGTTTAATTTGTCTAAGTCAACAGGCTTTCCTATAATTCTTCACATTTTTTGTCTTTAGACAGACTAAGGCAAAGAAGGAAATCGAGCCAAAATGAGCAGAAATGTTACTTTGTGTGTAATAAAAAGTATGGGATTATGAGGGAAATGCACTTCTGAAACGTAATTAAAGTTTACCCCACTCACCACTGGAATTCAGGTGCCTATTTAAAATGGAATACTTATGCCTGGATTACAGGGAGCTGTTCCATCTCTAAGAACAAATGCTAATTATGGAGGCATTAACAAAACAGCTACAGAATTGTTATTGAGTTGCTTTGATGACTTTCCACTCCTGAACTTTGGAAAAGTAAGAGCAGAATGATGGAGATGTGAAGAACAAACATCCCCCAGACAAGCCCTGCAATGCTTTGCTGAGGTGTTGGAGGAGCCCAGGGGGAAAGATCCAGTTACAACATCCCACCTGTGGCATCTGCTTCTGCCCTGCGATGGTTCCACGTGGGTCCTGCTTGTCCTCAGACCTGTCACATCATCCCAGACCTTCCTCCTCCCACTGCAGTGATGCCCTGACAGCCTGTCAGTGTGGGATGCTCTCCCATCTCATCAGAGCAGCAGTGGGTACATGAGGCACCACTATCAAAGAGCACTGCGTGTTCCAGCTGAAACCAGCGCTGGAGATTGAAGTTTAACAATAATCCACTCTGGCACATCCCATATTCCACAGCCAGCTCTGTCTAGTCCAAACAATGAGACAGAAACACGCAATGATAATCTACTCTTGGAGTTTGGCAAAGTCAATTTGGGGCAGTCAGCAGAAAAGGTCAGTTCATTCTTCCCCTCCTCCGACTCGATAACCAGGCTGCGCTTCGAAAGACTCCTGATGATTAAAAGTTGTCTTCAAGTTGTAACCAACAGACACACAAGTCTCCTCTCTTTTTTTTTCCAGGAACAGAATGTGTGTGCAACTCTGGTGGGTGTCACACAGGGCTGCAGCTGAAGGCAAGATTCTTAAAAGCAGCATTTTGCTGCAATTATGTTATTTGTATCACAAAGGGATGCAGGTTTCCTTATCACCACTGAGCTTTGCTTATAAAAATTGCCTTTGCACTTATCAGGTAAAATGATACTGTTCTGAACTTCTTGTGAATGTGCACATGAAATCAGAGTTAAAAACTCACAAAATGGTAGAAGAGTGAAAAATAAATTATAAAGAGTGTTTTGATGTAAGCAACCTTAATTTTGACATGGCAATGGAATATTTACTCACCCAGACCCACACAGACTTTGTTTAACTCGGGTTGGAATGTTGGAGGATCAGCACTGAGCTCTATTTCAGCTTGGAGCACCTCCTAAATTAATGAAATTCCTTTTAATCTGTCAGCTTTGATTTCTGTTAATGGAGTCTGTAAACACGTTTAACTAAATGGTTGAGCACAGGAAACTAAATGTTCTCCAGATACTGGTCTCAAACAGAAGTTTGTAGCAGCAGATGTGTAAAGTTTGGTCCATTGTTGGCCTGGGCAACTCGAGACAAAGTTGAGATTCTCTGTCAGCGGGTACTGAATGAGGCCATCAGTCACAGTCCTGTAAAGAGAGTTTCCTGCTCTTCCATAAAAATTACAAGGGGAAGAAGAAGGTCAAAGTACTCCTGTCATACTTCTCCCCAGTGCAGAAGCAGAGTTCTCTGTTATACTCAGAATGTCTTGCACTGAGGAAACAGGTGATTTTTTGGCTCTGTCAACAGAGACACCTCACACACACATTCAGGGAGCTTCCAGGTCTTCCAGGCATTTAATCCTTTAAGACAACAATCACAGTTTGAAAGAATCCTTCACAATTCATTTTTGGGTCGTTTGCATGATGAAGTCCCACGAAGAGGTGCAGTAATTCAAGAGGGGGAGTGGGGAGGAGATGGGAGGCTGTGGGTTTAACAGGAAACCTTAAGGCTATCAAAATGCTCTTTGAAATCACCAGGGATGAAATCCATATTTCCCTACTGAGTTAAACACGACCTGACAATGCCAATGAACTTTGAGAGAAATGACAGACAAATTACAGCGTGCGTGTGCTAAGCCATGTTGAACCTTCATTTCAAAAAGGCATCCTGTCAGGAGCTGTAAATACTGTGGGCTAACACCCAAAGATTTGCTTCCTGCTTCCCATGGAATGCACTTTCTGCTCATAGACTGCTTATGGACTGTGCAGATTATTCAGTGGATTGTAAATTAAAGTCATTTTGACCAGGAAGAAAGTGAGGGATGCCAAGGTGTTTCTGGTCACAATCAGGAAAGGCTTCTTCTTTGAAGATCTCCACTGAAAGACTATCCCTTCCCACACTGTCCCAGACTATGTATTCCATATATTATATGTTTGAGGATTTGCTTTGTGGGGTTTTAGTTTTTTAGTGAGCTATTGCTTTTAGTGCTTGTTCTCCGAAAGCCATGTGAAAATGAAGGAAGCCTGCAATCAGCAGTTGTAGACTTATCCATGTATACATCAGATGGAATTTCTTCATGGAAAGGGTTGTTAAAAACTGGAATGGGCTGCCCAGGGAGGTGGTGGAGTCCCCATCCCTGGAGGTGTCCAAGGAAGGGCTGGCTGTGGCACTCAGTGCCCTGGGCTAGGGGTCAAGGTGGGGATGGGGCACAGCTTGGACTTGATGACCTTGAAGATCTTTTCCAACATTAAGGATTCTATGATTCCATATGAAAGACACTGGGATAGGACGCATGATTCCAACAGGATTTGGTTTATACTCTCTTCATCTGAAGCTGCCCCACCGAGGGCTGGGTTACACCACCCCCTTCCACACCTTCTGTTACCACACGGTCGTGAGCTCTCACTGCCAGGAGGAGAAATGAGGAGAGGCACTGAAAACTGAGCCCCAAAAAGCTTTTTAATCTCTGTATCATCCACTTTCCTGCTTATATCCCTCCTCTACTCCCTGTCCCATCGCTGTCCCCATTTGGCACCCTCATTTCAGCACCTCCTGCTGAAACACCCCCATCTCGAGCAGGAACACTTGGAATGCTGCAACTCCCAGCTCTGAGCCAGAGCCACTGAACTCACTTCAGCTAATGCTGCAAAATGAACATTAACAACACTTGCACTTTTATTGGTTTATTTATTCCTTCTTAAAACTGGCTACAAGCACAGCATCTGATCCTGCAATCATTTTTCATGTCTCATAATGTTTTATTCACGTGCTGAGCTCCTGTCAGACCAAATAAGACTATTGCAAAGAACAAATGCCTTTCTGGGTGAACAAAGAGCAGGGACTGGGCTCACAGTGCTCTGGGAAACATTTGGACTGCCTGGCTGACACAGCGACGCCAGGATTTGGAGAGGCCACATCAAAAATGGCTTTGCTCTTTTTGGAAAAGTTTCCCACATTAATTGTTTCTCCACGAAAGTGAGAAATCCTACTGGAAAAAAAATAACAATCTCCTAAAGTGAACAAGCGAAAGACGATGATTTTCTGCAAGAAAGGGATTTATTTTCAGACCAAATTTTTTTTCTTTTTTTTTTTTTTTTGTTTTGTTGTTGCTGCACTTTTGGTAGCGAGAAACCTTTATTTAGTCACCAACCCATTTATCAGGATGTTTCTAAAAAGCTCTGGTTTGGCTTTCCCCCTTGTCTTTCTGCTCCTTTCACCATATGCTGCTCTGACATGCCAATACATCACAGGGCAAGGTTGTCAGATCCTCCCTCTGGAGTTTTTACTAAATACTGCTGAAAACAACCGTACAGCTCTATTGATCTTGCAAAAAATAATTAAAGAAAAGGAAAAAAAAAAAAAGAGCTGCAACCAAGCCAAGCTTCCAGTGAACAAGCCCTGAAAGTATTTCTCTTTGATATTACATTAATCTGGGTTATTAACAGCACTAAGATCCACATGAGGTCAGTTCAAAGGTTGCCCTGACGGAGGAGAAGTAAAACATCTGCAGGAAACACGTTTCTGTAACATTGTGCTTGACATGGGAATAAATGGGTGCAATTCCACAGCCTGTGTTATGCAGGAGATCAGACAAGATGATCATAGTGGTGCCATCTGGCCTTAAAAATCTATGAATCTACATTTAAATTCCCACTTGACCCCAGGTAACCTCTCTCTGAGCCCATCTGCATGTTGAATATTCCCATTAAAACGCAGTCGACAGCAAGCCAAGCTTTACTAACCTCAATCAGCCTTATTTCATGTAGCCACTGACATCATATTTTGGCAATAAAACGCCAAGAAAACCTGATACAAACCCAAGCATTTCTACCTATAAGTGCAAACAACTGAAAAATAATTAATGAAGTGCCTGGAACCACCAGACCATTTCCTGGAGAACCCCCCTGAGGAGCTGCTGCCACCGAGTTCTGAAGAGCAACCTGGACAACCAAGTGGTTGATGTTTGTGTGCAACAAAGGAAGGAATTTGGTTGGGATGGGAGACGAAGAGTTGCACAGAGAGTGGTCCTTGGGACCACAGACAGCTCAGGGAGGGAATTCATGCAGGTTTTAAGTGAGATGGGTAAAGAGGAAGCCCCAAGGGTACAAATCTTGTGCTTCTAGTTGGAGGGATTTCTTGTTTTTCTCTAATAATTGTTCACCCAAGGCCTGGCTTAAAATGAGGGTTTCAAAAGCCAGCAGAATAGGGCATTTAGAGAGTGGCAGTGGCAGAGCAAGATGGAAACTCTTTGCCAAGGCCTGGCCCCTCCCTGCTCAAGGCTCCAGTGTCCTGTGACCACCAGTCCCTCTCAGACTTCCAGGAATATCTTCTGTGTTTTATTCTTAACAACCACGAGGTTTAGAGAACCTCTAAATTATGGGCATTCATTAAGGGGAAGATGATGTTAAATCAGTCAAATCAGTCTTGTACAAGTATTTTTTAAGTCACAGAATCAAAGGCCCGTCACACCCCAGCAGAACTTGGATGGTGGAGTAGTTTCCATGGGTCTCAAAGCAATTTGGAGAGCCCAGAATAGAACCACAGAATGGTTAAGGTTGGAAAAGCCCTCCAAGATCATCGAGTCCAACCATTCCAGCACTGCCAAGGCCACCACTGACCTCTTTCCCCAACTTCCACATCTACATGGCTTTAAATCCCTCCACGACTAAAATGTCCTGTCCCAGTGCCTGACAATCTTCATGGGGAAGAACTTTTTTCCTAATATCCTACTATTTTTCCTAATATTTCTATCCTGACATCCCCAGGCTCTGAGAGGGACTTGCCTGCAGCTCCACAGACACACCTGGCTGAGATCCTTCAGTCCCTCCCTGCACAATGTCCTCTCTCTTAACTTGGAAAGGTTTAATGAAATTTCCCTGCTAGAAATCTAGAACTACCCTGCAAAATTTTGGAAACAGATATTCCTGATGGTTCTACAGGAACAGCAGGAGCCTGATCCAATGTTTATTGAAGCAGTGTTGCTGTTTACATTTAGAAGCAACCAAGAGTAAAAGAAGAGAAGGAGAAATAGAGTATCAGCAGAAACTTTTTTTTCCTGAGGGTTGGGTTTGTTTGGGGGAGGTTGTTTTTTCCAGTTTATTTGGTTTGGGTTTTAATAAATATATATTTTGGATCTAAGGCTCTTCTCTCAGTTGGATTTTGGTTCCCATGAAAACAGTTTCCATAGGATCAAATGTGGGTTATTTCTAGGGAGTTACTTGGGGAAATATATTCATGAAGAGACTGCATCCTGCTGATGGAAAACAAACACAAATAAAGAGACAAGCCAGGAAAGAGATCTGAAGAGAAGGAAGTAATGAAAGGACCATTTTGGGCACCGTTATTATTACACTGTGTCCATCCCCTTCTCCCTCACTCTCAGCACTGTATGTTTTAATTATCCCCTGAAGAAACAGCTCTGGAGATTCACCCACAGGGAGCAAAGGCTCTGTCAGTGACAACCAAATTAATTTCCCTGCTGGAAGCAGGAATGTGACTTAAAACCCCCAAACAATGTATTTTTAGGAACTTAGACCATCTTTCTTTATAGAAACTATTGCCCTTTATACTCGACTGGTAGCACACCACCTGTTCAGAGAGACACCAGTAACTAGGAGTTAGTAGGTCTGACTGCAGCAGTGTCTCAGTTTTTTGTCAAATCAGTATAAATCATGTTAAAAGAATGCTTTGGAGTGGGCATAACCCAGCACTAAAAAGGAAAAAAAAATTCTGATTTACTGTTGCTTGTTCAAATCATTAACCCCACTGTGCAAGGGGATAACGAGGCAGGATTTGCAGCAGGAAGGTCCACTGAGGGCTGTCAGAGGCAGTGATGGAGCTACCACTTTCTGGCCAGTAAGCCCTTAAACAGCAGATTCCCAGGAGCTGGGAGAGGGTATCCAGAGGAATTATCCTGCAGTATTTGCCCAGTTCTTATATTGTGGCCCTGGACATCTGCTCCTGGCCACTGCCAGAGGCAAGATGTGGAGGGTAGATGATCCTGGGGCTGTTCCCTCTCTCTGCTGTCAGTGCTGTGACTGGGCACAAGAGTCCCACTGCAGCTTCAGCTCAGCTGGAGCAAAAAGCTTGGAAAACCTGGGAAAAACCTGTACCATCCTCCAATATTATATATAAATATATGTCCTGTACCATCCTCCAATATTACATATAAATATATGTTCAACTTGAAATGCCCTCTGCTGACTTCCCCTCCCACAGCTGCATCCAGAAGAGCAGCAGGGAGGAAGAGGAGCTGTCCCACAGCAAGGATGCTCTTCTGAAACAAGGCAAACAAGGCAAACTTTCGCTGGTGTTTTTTTTAAAAAACCACCTTGCAAAACACTTACTTTCTATAAAAAGGGCTTTAATTCCCATGCAGTTGTCAGCTCTCTTGGCAAGAGTCACCATCCCAAACTTTACAGAGTTATTACACAGCTTGCTGCTGTGCTATCCATCCCTTTCCTACGATCTCAAAAGGCCCAAAACTAGTAAATTAAATATTTACTGGCAAACAGCACTAGGAAGAGATGTGAAGTGTCCTTAGTGGAACCAGATACTTCCATCAGAGAGCAGCTGAAACCATCTTTCTTTTCAGAGCACCCCTACACTCACCTCTCTACAGCATGTTTTCCC